AAAAATATTGTCAAATCATGGGTGTGTTATTTGGGAAGAATAGAGAAAGTTTCTCCAATTTTTTTCCCCTTCCTATTGTAGTTCTCCTTATAATCTACCATACCGTATAATGATAATGTTCCACCTGGATTTCAAAATCTGCTATAACTTGTTTTAACAGGGATAAATTGGTGGCTATTTGTATGGGCTTCAATCAATTGTTCTGAAGACAAATTGCAATTATATTATTAGTAAATCAACATCATTGGATTATGCAGATGATGCTCACCAACAATAGTTTTCCAAACCAAAGCAAACTGGAAGTTCAATGAAGAAATGAGTATATGCATTTTCAAGTTATCTTATTCCTACACAGAATGATAGGAGTTACAAAAACCATTATGAATTTTCTCTTAGTGGTTTCCTGCAGGAATTTTTAAAAATCAAAACCAATCTGATTTTGTTCAAAAGTATTTAAGTAGAAAACTCTTTGGAAATGCCTCAAAATCAGATTTTTTTTGTAATCATCTAAGAGAAGTAGCATATGTGGAAATAAATGCTACTACTGAGAGAATAATTAATGGGAAAGGTCTAAAACGTTTGAATCTGCTCTCTTAAGATCTCGTGACAGCAAATACAAAGACATCCATTGCTTAAAGTGAATGCAGATAAATTATTTCACTAAAAGAAGACTTGATACAAAAGGGCCACAAGTGTATATGGCAAACAAATAGGTAGGGTGAACGAAGATATGAAACATCATGTATTCATCAAAGTCACATTATTCTTTCATTTTTCAGTAATTATGATAATTCATAAATTTGAGGATTACTTTTACCTGATTATATTAACATTGGCAAGTACTTTTAAATCCTTTAATTCAAGCTCACTTTTCTAGTATCTATTTTTCCAGATTTGTAATACCACATAGTCTTTTTTAATGTTCAAATGAACTAATTTAATTTACTTAGGGGCTAGACAGGTTGGGACCGTGGGAATTTGAAGCACTGGAAGGAGGTAAGGGAGGAAGTTTATACATACAGCACATGAACCTCGATGCATAGCTAAGTAGCCATTTGTGTGGCTTACCACCAAGAGCTAGACAGAAGTCGTTCCTGACACTCCCGGAGCACCCCAGGTGACCAGGCAGGGTTATCAAAGTGAACTATAAAATTAAGTATTCTAATAACGATCAGGCACAGGTTACTCACCTTCCAATGGCTTGGGTAAAAAATGAGCTGCTGGCTTGGTTTTCTTTACTCTGTTTCCTTTCATAGCTTGCCCTTCTTTATTCAACCCCAAAAACCAGGCTCGACCAGATTCCTGTTGTCTGTACAGCATGGACGAGTAGATTACATAATAGTTTTCAAAAACAGATTCTTTAAACTTGCATTCAGGGGTAAAAAGTTCCTATGGAGAAAAACAATGAAAGGCACATTAGAGGAAGAGAGAGAGCTTCAATGAGTTTCTACTAATTAATCCAGAAACCCGTCCTTTCATTATGGGTGAAAGAACCAGTCATTGGGTAGTCATGATCAAACACATCTTTCCTTAGGCACAGCCACTGGCCACACCTCACGCCCCGCCCCCACCCCCACCTCCCCCCATATACAGTAGGAAGAGAGGCATCTGCTTTGGAGAATAAATATAGGCTAAAATATGGCTATTCTTTAATAACAAGAATTTATCATAACCAAACTAAACATCATTTATACATCAACAGAATACAATTCAAGCAGGGTGTAATAAAGGAAGGTCACATGTAAAGTAGCGTGTCATCTATTTTAAATATTTTCATCAGTGTCCTGGATTCATATCTTTCTTTGAAAGCTTTCGATGGTAAATTTGGTGAGGTTTACAGAGTAGAACACATTGTCATTCAACCATTCACACACATTTTGTTTCATCCCATTGATTGCAATCTCCGCAGGGAAACACTTGTCCCATTCCTCTCTGGGTTTCCTGTTCTCAGTGCTCCTTCTTCAGGGTGCATACCATTTTCTTCGTGAATTATGTTATGCCCATTGATCTGGATGTCTGTCTGCATCCGTAGGCCCAGAGACTCATGCCCTTAAGGTGTTTGGTGATATTAAAGAAATTTTCATAGCCCTGCCCCTCGTATACTCTACCACTTCCACAGATACAGTTTTAGCCAAGGTAAATCCCCATGTGAAAATATCCTTTGTCAGATCTTTATATATTCCTGTGTATACTCCCACATATGTTCATAATAGCATAACAGTTTCTGGTTGTTCAATGAGCCACTAATGCTAGCAGGCAACAGAGTTTACATACAAAGAAACACATGGCAGCCTCCTAAACCAAAGCCATGACGATCCATTGGCACACAAACTAACACCTCAAAGTGACTGTGGTGTAACCAGCTGAGGCCAGGTGTCATATTAGCTGGTCATGGTGACAGAAGCTGAAAATAATTACCTAATTCCATGGTTTGAAACGCTACTGGAACTCTTGCAAATAAATATCGAAAGCTGCCTTGACTGAGCTCCGCCAACTTTTTCAGAAGAATAGCATGTGTTAGATATCATCAGGCTCAATGCCATATTCTCCATTAACTAATAGATGACATTCATATTACTGCTCAGTAAACATGTTGATGCACATGTTCAGATGGCAGTTTTTGAAATGTTCTTGTTTGTGAAGAAACGTCAGTCGAAAGGAGCAAGATCAGAGCTTTGGGGCAGATGGGGTATGTTTTACAAGTATATTCTCACAGGATAGCTCTTGCTATCATCAAAGAATGAGGAGGTGCGTTGCTGTGATTGATATAAAGAAAAGAAACATAATTCTTGGGACAACTTTCCTGGCCTTTTTCTTAGAAATGACATTTTCCATTTTCTTTAAAGTCTTTTTCTGGTTTTTCTTTTTTTTAATAGTAAGTCCAGTGATTGTTCTGTGCCCTTTGCTCTCCCCCTCCGCCCAAAGCCGCTGTTTTGTTTGGGCTTTTCGTCTTCTTAAGGTTCTATAGTCACAATTGTGGGATGCATTTGAGAATTTAACAGGTTACAAGGTAGAATAAAAATTAAGAATACAACTCTTTCATCAGCAGCACCTCTTCCCAGCTGTTCTAGCAGGAATATCCCTCTCATCCTTGACATCGCAGCTAAGCAGGCCCTTGGCCTGCGCCCTGTTTGGGCAAGTGCTGCAAAACTCTTTCAGCATTGGTCAGTATGCCCAGGGAGCACCTCGCTCTGCAAACCAGCCTCTTGCTTGAAAGCCCTCAGCTGTACTCCTTCCCAGCAGCAGGGGAGACCGTCTCTCTGTCTCCATGCCTCCTCTGCTCGGCCTCATGGCCTCAGGGCTTCAGCCTTAGGTGCTTTGGCTTCCTTTCTCCACCACCTCAGATGTGCTCCACTGATAGCGCTTCTTTCTTGGTGGTCATGGGATTCCTCTTTTCCTACTCCTGAGGTGGCAGATGGAAAAACTGCCCAGTTCTTGAGTTAGTGCCTTGTGTATGTTATTTGCATCCTCCTACCCAGTCACTATGTGGGAACTACAGTCTATGGGTAGAACAGCAATACTAAGTGAGTTTTCTTCACTGCAAATGATCTTCAGCGAAATAGATTGTGTTGTAACATCTTTAGTATATAGCGAGAACCTGGAAGCATAGGAATTGAACTTTCTAGGGGCCATGTGTACTGAAAGTATCAGGCCAAGTAGTATAGGAGTGAAGTAGGTTGACCCAATCGTGGCACGGTTACGGGAGGAACTGGGAGTGAACCCTAATGTACCTATAGGCTTTGGTTGATAATAGCACGTGTGGTCATCAGTTATAACCAATACATCCACACTAATGCTTGATGTTAATGAAAGAATAAAATATATAGGCAGGAGAGGGAGTATGGAAACTGTACTTTCTGTGTAATTTTTTCTGTAAACGTAAGCCTTTTAAAAAATAGTCTATCAATAAAACACAGGAAAGACTCACAAGGATAAATGTAAAATAATATGTCTCATAACAATCATCAAAAACACCAAAAACAAAAAACACCTTCAGATATTTTAGTAGGTTGATTTATCAAGAGAGAAAAATCCAGCTTTCTACATAAAAACCCTTTGAATGCTTGCAACTTGTTCTTGTTTTGTTTTTGAAGTATTACGTGGGAAGGGGAGCCAGGTTAGGCCCAAGAATCTCCTGTTTGAGATCTTCAACAGAGAGCGGCCATTGATGTGCAACCTTGCAAGCTTATCAGTGCAGGCTAATCTGATTTATGGTTTTTATACAAGAGACTAGCAATCCTTGCATAGTATAAATGGTTAATTGTACTCAACTGCTAAATGAAACGTTTCCAGTCTAATAGATGCCTTGGCAAAAAACGCTTGGTGGTTTGCTGATTTACTTGTGAAAAAAATCAGTCACTGAAAACCTACCAAACACAGTTATACTCTGACACACATGGAATCTGTAAGAATTGGAATTGATTGTATAGCAAGGATTTATGTGTGTTTAATTCAGTTGACTATAGCAGTGACAATATGAGAATGCTTATTAGGCTCAACAATAAACTCCTAGAAACTGCCAAAATGAGGAGTTCAGCATGTCTTCCCCTCCCCCCATCTTGCATATCTATATTTAGAAACACCACCATCCTTGCAGGAAAATCGACACTTGGGTTAAGGAGAAGCTTAAATATTAATTTACACCCATGCCAAAGTACATCGTCAGATCACAGAAAAAAGCTCAACGACTACACACAAGAGAGATGTCTACTTTCATGGTGTGGTGTTTTTGCAACGAAAGCACCATCTGTGGTGTATTTATTATCATAACAGTGGCAGCAGAATCCCTCTTCTGAGGGAAACGCCTTTGTGTAAGAAAGTCCTGATGCACTGTTTGCACGTACGATGATATGCTGCTGGAGAGGGTGCAGAGAAGAGAGGGCTAGTGGTTTGCGGCTTATCACCCATGAATTTACCCTATGAGATACAAACAAATAAACAAACACCCCAAACCCATTGTCACTGAGTAGCTTGCGATTCAGAAAGACTGCAGGGCAGAATGGATGTACCCTTTAGAATTTCCAGGGCTGTAAATTTTACCGGAACCTGACTTCAAGAGGTTTCTCCCATGAAGGGGGCCGGTAGATTCCAACCACGGACCAATGGGTTGACAGCTTCACACTTTACTCACTGAGCTACCAGGGCACTGAGACAAACCATAAACTTATGAACTATTTGAGAACCATAGTTTAAAACCAAGGAGCCTCCTTGAAAATCTAAGTCAGTGGTCCATGGTACAAATACAGCTGCCCCTTGTTTTTGTAAATAAAATTTTACCTGAAAACAAGTATGTTCATTTGTTTACATGTTTGTACATGCTCTATGACTGCTTCATATTACAAAAGTAAATGTAAGTAGTTTAGAAATAAAATGTATGGTCCACAATTCTATATGGTTCTTTACCAAAAAGATTTGCCAACCCTGTTCTAGCACAAATTGTAAGGCCTTTAAAACCTATGAAATTGGGAGGAGTTGTTAAATCAATATCAAATTTAGAAGGCATCAAGCATTACCAAATTAAACAGAGGTGTTCATATATGCAAATGTATACAATTTGAATCGGGAATATTAAAATTCTATCCTTAAAAAGCCTTTCTGTTCTCTTATGAATCTAGCCTTCTGATAAGAATATGTAAGAAGTGGCCTCCACATTTCCTCAATTACGTTGTTGCTTTAACTCTATCAATTTTATCTCTAAGAGCAGCAACAAGAAATATGTTTGGTTAGTATGTCCAGGCTTGCCTACCACTACCACAACTGTTCCAAGGGGGAAAACACCAAAAATGGACATTCCGGGCAAATTGAAAACATTTCTAAGAATGTGAGGTAATTCCAAAATAGACTAAAAAAGAGAGAGAGAAAAATGATATTACAGATATTGTAGCAAGAAGTCAATAGTAAATACATGATAAACAAAAGCTAATAACAACCTATTAACATTTTGGAGTCCCTGGGTGGCACAAATGTTGGGAGTTCAAACCCACCCAGAGGCTCTTCAGAAGAAAGAATCAGTCGGGGAAGCCATGTGGAGCACAGCTGCTGTCTGACTAATCCAGGGTTAACAAGAATCAAATCAACTGGGAAGCAAGATTTTTGTTGTTGTTTCCTTTTTATACTCCAGAATGAGGGGATGGCACAGAAGCCATGGCTGGCCTCCTGTGGTGTCAGTTGGGAGAAAGAGGACCCAAATCCACGCCGACCAGCCCAAGGCTGATCCCTGAAGGACATGCCTCTAGCTTCGAACATCGGTACCCTAACCTGACACCAAACATCCCTTTCTCAGTAGGCTGCTCGGCTCTGACATCCATTGCAATGATCTCAGAGACTCACCGACAATACTAATGATTACGGGGGGTTTCATAGGGAAGTGGACAGGTTGCAAGTCAGGA